CCCGCCCTCGTGTTCCTCGCCTGGCTGGCCGACAAAGGACCGCCGGCGGCGGCGACGGCGGCGGTCACAGGCCACGGCGACGACCCCGGACGTCCAACTCAGGGGAGGAAGGGATACCGATGACGCTGCTCGTCCTGGAGAGCCTTCATCTCATGACGCCAACATCGCGGCGCGGATTTCGTTCGGAAAACAATGGGATGGGCCCGGATTGTCCTGGAGAGTTTCGTTCCTGATGTCGAAGTTAATCTCGTGCAGATGTTTTGGGCCAGGAAGGGAGGCCACAACACATCCATGCGACATTCACTCTCTTGTTCGCTCTCCGCTTCGCGGTCTTGCAGTGGCAGAAGTCCCCGCACAAATCCGCTGCAGCACGCCTGTAAGGTTGGTGCAGTGCCTCATCGCCACGGCTGGGTTCTTCACCACCCACCAAACCACCCCAACCCAACCCGAAGGCTCAGATTTACCCTCGATTTCCAGTGAGGGGGGGGGTCCGGGAACATCGAAAAAACACTTATGGAGCCCATACCCCCCCCAACCCGAAATTCGGGTCTTCGGGTTGGGTTGGGGTGGTCTGGTAGGTAGTCAATGCCTCATCGCCACGGCTGGGTTCTCCTCCAGATTCTGGCCAGAGCGCGCCTGCGGAGAGGTCCGTGGAGCAGCGGCGTCGGCATCAGCCGGGGGGCCCTGCTTGCGCAGGGCCCCCTCTGCTGACCCTGTTGCTTACTCCAGATTTCGTAATAAAAGGGAGGGGGTCTGGACCCTCCAAGACAAGCCATTTCAGACCTCCCCCGTGGGAGAACCCTCCAAAACATCGTCCCCAGACCCCCCAGGCCCTCCAAGATAGCCTGGAAGAGACCCCCCCCCCCCCGAAATGAGACCCCCCTCCCTCTATTACGAAATCTGGAGTATCTGTTTTATCTCAGGTCCCAATGTCCCCGAGGATGTGATGACGGTGCCCAGCGCGGTGCTTTAGCATGTCGCTCCTTGTGTGTCCTCGGCCTGCTGCTGGGCAGTGGAAGCATGTTATTCGTCTTCTTCTTGGCGTTGAGGCGCATGCCGCGGGCGCGCACCCGCGATGCGACCATCTGGAGCAGGGCCGTTGCGGTGTCGATCGGGTCGTCAGGGGATTGGGTGGCGTACGCAGTCAGGTCGTCAACGAAGCTGGCCTCGGTGAGAGCTGTTCCCCCGTCTTGCCCGTCTTGGTGTCGTCGCCCTTGTGCACGGGTGGGTTGATGGTCACTGTGCTGGGGCATCTCGCGGTGGATCCCCTTCTTGATCACATGTCCTCCGCGATCGCCTAGGTGATCCTGGCGAGAGCTACATCGAAGGAGAAGTCGGACATTGATACCCCTGGCCTTGTTCCGTTTCTCGGCTGCGCTATTCTTTTGGACCCCTGAGTTGTGGCCCAGAGGTTGGTATGTGCATCTTGTAGTCGTGTTCGTCGATGTTGCTGTCGATGTAAGGCGCTCCTTGCATGGCGTCTGCCAGCATGGGTAGTATGGCCTCAGGATGTCCATGGTGTCGAAGAGGTGTTTCAGGTCGTGGTCGTCTGTCGGTAATGTTTAGACGAACCCGAGGACAACGGAGTATACAGCGCCACTCAAGTCCATGGATAGAACTACCCCGCGGTCTCTCCGATTCTTCAGCATATTGATGTAAATGAGGGTGGTGTGCGTTACGAAGTCGGTGCTTCGGTGTTATCGGACTTCGCATGGTGAATCTCGAAGTCAATTGACTGCGAACTTCTTAAGGCTGGTCCTTCGGAATCCGTGGCGGTGCTTTGCGATAACGTTGTTCAATGAGATCATGTGCCTGTCGCCAAGATGCTTGCTTGTGGTGTTCTTTGCGAATGACGCTTACCACCCGCATTTTCGTGACAATGGTTCTACACTTGTCAGCTGGGCTTTGACCGGCAGTGGGTAGTAGAGCCTGAATGTTTGCTTGCTGGCTGTTCGGCGCATGTTGTCGGTGATGAGGTCTGGTCCTCCCTATCTGCTTCGACTGGCAGACTGGAAGTCGTCCTGGAGTTCGCTCTTGGGGATGATGTTGTTGACCGGGGTATCTCGATAGGTTTGGTCTCGGATCGTTTCTTCGGCGTTCAAGCTGTAGTCGATAGCGATTTCTTCCGGTTGTCGTATGAGGGCGTGGTCCGCCATAGCGAAATTGTCGAGCTCGGTTTCGGCCTTTGCCTCTTCGCTGGTGATTGGCCTTCCGCTGGCATAGACGGTGTACTTGTGCTCGTCTGTGATCATCCTGGACGGTCTTCCTCCACGTAGCTGCAATTGATTCACTCCTTGCCACTTCTGTTTGGCATCGCGGTCGTCGATGGCACCTTTGAGATTGTCTGCGAAGTTGTTTAGGGATTCGTCCTTACCCTCTTGGATCCTGTTTGCCAGGTGGTACTTGGACTCCCGTAGAAATTCAGCCCAGTGTTGACCAGGTTGACCAGGTTGAACTGGGTGCTCGGGTCGTTTATGGTGTGGGCTGTTAGTATCACAGGTGTGGTTCCCTCTGTTATTTGGTATTCCAGTTTCGCCATGACAGTTTTGGTCTTGGCGTCGTGTGGGTCGTCGCGGCATGCTTGGTAGGGTCGTTGGCATCCGCGCCGTACCCGCATAAGTGCGAAGGTAATGTTCGTGATGTAGGTTTTGCGTATCCGTATGGCTTTCTGTTTGTATGTTGTTTCGGCAGCCTCCCTGACTTTCTTGTCGAGCTAGTGGGCGTGCTCGTTGATGTCGATGTCCCAGTCGCCTAGTTCGATCTTGTCAAGTTCCCTAGGGAATGTAGCGTGGTCATCAGGGTTATCAGCTCGTTTGGGGTCAAGCCTCAGTTTCGACTTCTTAGTGTGGGGTATTGGCAGGTGCTCTCGTGGATAATGGCAGGGAGGTGGTCTTCGTCGTCCTGGACCAGGTCGACTGTGTCGATGGTGGCCGCTTGTGAAGTGTATCCATGTTGATTGTGGATATTGCGACGTAGTAGATGCGCTCTTTTCGGTCCCTGTTCTTGTACGTGCAGTTGGGGCCACTACAGAGGGTAGCGGCGTTGACGGCCGTGAGGTTGTATGCCGTCAAGCACTCGTAGAACTTGTTGCTTGCGTTGGTCTCCTCGAGCCTCTCTCCGTAATTGTCGATGGAGTCTGGTGTGGACGCTCCCGTGGTGGCGTTGGCGTCGATCATCAGCAGGTCGATGTGGAACTTGCGTGACATATTGCTCAGCTCGGTCCAGAACATGACGGTCTTCGTTTCGCCCCAGTGTGCATGAGTGGCATGTGCTACCGTCACCGTCCTTCGAAGTCCAGGCGCCGTAATGCGTACTGCTAGTAGTCTCGGGTCCTGGTAGTGTACCTTGGCGTGGTTGGGTTGTAGGCGTCTCTCCACCCCGTTCCCTGTGGAATACGGCAGGTCTGTGTTGATCAGAAGCGAGTACCAGTGGCCGTCGTGTCCGTGTCAGAGGTTGTGGTTGTCGTGGTTGGAGTTCCTGGAAAATTCGGCGGAGGATAATTTGCCTGGCGAAGGACCCAACCATATACAGTTGTAAGGTCTGCAGTTGTGAGGACGCTCTTCAGTTGGGGCTACAAGACGTGTGAGGAGCGTACCGATTTTGGGAGGGGGGGGGGGAGGCGCATGTGAACCCTCTCACTGGGACCTTTGGAGCTCCTCCTCCTGCTCCTCCTGCTCCTCCTGCTCCTCCCTTCCTCCTTCTCCTCCTCTTTCTCCTCTTTCTCCTCCTCTTTCTCCTCTCCTCCTCCTCCTCCTCTCCTCCTCCTCCTCCTCTACCTCCTCTACCTCCTTCTCCTCCTCCTCCTCCTCCTCCTCCTCCTCCTCCCTCCTCCTCCTCCTCCTCCTCCTCCTCCTCCCCCTCCTCCTCTCCGCCTCCTCCTCCTCCTCCTCCTCCTCCTCCTCCTCCTCCTCCTCCTCCTCCTCCTCTCCTCCTCCTCCTCCTCCCTCCTCCTCCTCCTCCTCCACCTCCTCCTCCCCCTCCTCCTACTCCTCCTTCTCCTCCTCCTCCTCTTCCTCTTCCTCCTCCTTCTCCTCCTCCTGCTCCTCGTCATCCTCCTCCTCCTCCTCCTCCTCCTTCTCCTCCTCCTCCTCCTCCTCCTCCTCCTCCTTCTCTTTCCTCCTCCTCCTCTCCCTTCTGCTGGGGTCAAACCCCCAGCTCGGGGCCCCCAGGCCCCCTCCTTCGCTCGCCGCCCGGCTCAGGGGCTGGGGCCGGAGGCCCCTGCGGCGGCGGCCAGAGTACCGCGTCGGAGCGCGGGCGCCAACGCCGCCGCCGCGGGGGGGCGACACGCGGTGGTTGAGTTCTCAGCCGCGTCTTTTCGTTGGCCCTACACTCGTGCTAAGTGTTAGGCTGACCAGGATAGCAGAATCCTCGTCGCAGAATCCTCCTCCTCCTCCTCCTCCGCCTTGCTGGGTCAGGTCCCTCGCCTCGGCCTCGCGCGCTCGCCGTGGGCCCGATGCTAGGGGCAACAAACGGACGCCGCGCCGCCCTGGAGGCGGCCCGCGGCGCGCTCCTCGCCTCGCACGTGTCCTCTGGGCTGGCTGCCGCGCGCTCCCCTGTGAGCGTGCGGCTGCTGCGAGCGCCCGAGGGACTCCTCCGCACGGCAGTGGCCGTGCTCGGCGCCCCCGAGGCGCCGCCTCCGCTTGCGCCCGACGCTGCCAAGGCCACGGCCCGCCCTCGGCGGCGCCGACGGCGGCGCGGGCGCGGCGGCGCTGGCGGCACTCATGGCGGGCCCGTGCAGGGCACTGGCGACGCGACGGCGGTCGAGAAGGTGGATGTAGCAGTGGCGGCGGTCGTGGCGATGGCGGCGGCTGCGCCTGCCCCGGCCTTGCTGGCGGTCGACGACGGTGTCGCGGAGGGCGGTGGCGCGGTCGCCCCGCCGTCGCCTTTGGAGGACGTCGCCTGGGCGGACGAGCTCCCCGCGCTGCCTGGCAGGCAGATGGCGGCGGGCGCGGCTGATGCGGCTAACGCGGGCGGGCTGGTGCTCTCGGCGCGGCTGAGGGCAGAATTCGCCGCAGCGCCGGCGGCGCACCACGCGCGCCGCATCACCGCCATCATCACAAGGATGCCGCCGGCTCGGCGTGGGGTGGTGGCAGTGGTGGACGATAGGGGCCTGAGCTCCTCCTCCTCCTCCTCCTCCTCCTCCTCCTCGATCCGTGGGTGGGTGTCTGGCACCTGTTCTCATAGTGGCAGTGCCACGCACTCCACGGGGCACACTGTCAGGAGAGTTATCTGCCAGCTGGGTGAGGCCCGTAGCACTAGAGTTGGTTATCAGGCGCGGGGGTCGCGCATTTGGTGGAGACGTGGGGCCATGTGGCCCGTTAGTCCCATGTGACCTTGTGCCACTCCCCCTGGGGTACAAGCCCAGTGGCGCGTGCTAGGTGTTTCGGCAGGGTTGAGGAAGTTTGAGGTCTCCCTACGCACTAGCCGTCACGCGTAGGCTGCGAGTCGCCGGCGACGTGGTCACCCCGCCACGCCCTGACTGGTTTGTGATTGAAGCCGCGTGCGTGGTTAACGACATTCTCACACTTGCTCCCTCCTCCTTCTCCTCTTCCTCCTCTTCCCCCCTTGTCCTTCTCCTCCTCCTCCTCCTCCACTTCCTCCTCTTCCTCCTGCTCCTGCTCCTCCTCCTCCTCCTCATCCTCCTCCTCCTCCTCCTCCTCTTCCTCCTCCTCCTCCTCCCCATCAGCCTTGCTGGATTAGGTCCCTCGCCGCTGGGCCGCGCGCCCCCTTGGCCTCGCGCGCTCGCCACAAACGGACGCCGCGCCGCCCTGGAGGCGGCCCGCGGCGCGCTCCTCGCCTCGCACGCGGCCTCTGGGCTGGCTGCCGCGCGCTCCCCTGCGAGCGTGCGGCTGCAGCGAGCGGCCGATGAGACTCCTCCGCACGGCAGTGGCCGCGCTCGGCGCCCCCGAGGCGCCGCCTCCGCTTGCGCCCGGCGCCGCCCAGGCCACGGCCCGCCCTCGGCGGCGCCGACGGCGGCGCGGGCGCGGCGGCGCTGGCGGTGCTCATGGCGGGCTGGTGCTGCAGGGCACTGGCGACGCGAGGGCGGTCGAGATGGTGGATGCGGCAGCGGCGGCAGACGCGAGGATGGCGGCGGCTGCGCCTGCCCCGGCCGTGCTGGCGGTCGTCGACGGTGTCGCAGAGGGCGCGGGCGCGGTCGCCCCGCCTTCGCCTTTTGGAGGACGTCGCCTGGGCGGACGAGCTCCCCGCGCTGCCTGGTGGGCGGATGGCGGCGGACGCGGCTGACGCGGGCGGGCTGGTGCTCTCGGCGCGGCTGAGGGCAGAATTCGCCGCAGCGCCGGCGGCGCACCACGCGCGCCGCATCACCGCCATCATCAAGGATGCCGCCGGCTCGGCGTGGGGTGGTGGCAGTGGTGGACGATAGGGGCCTGAGCCGTTTTGCGGCTCCTTCTCCTCCTGTTCCTCCTCCTCCTCCTCCTCTTCCTCCTCCTTCTCCTTCACCTCCTCCTCCTCCTCCTCATCCTCCTCCTCCCCCCGTCTTCCTCTTCCTCCTCTTCCTCCTCCTTCTCCTCCTCCTCCTCGTCCTCCTCCTCCTCCTCCTCCTCCTCCCCCTCCTTCTCCTCATCCTCCTTCCCCTCTTCCTCCTCCTCCTCCTCCTCCTCCTCTTCCTCCCCTCCTCCTTCTCCTTCTCCGCCTCTTCCTTCTCCTCCTCCTCCTCCTCCTCCTCCTCGTCCTCCTCCTCCTCATCCTCCTTCACCTCCTCCTCCTCCTCTTTCTCTTCCTCTTCCTCCTTCTCTTCCTCTTCCTCCTCCTCCTCCTCCTCCTCCTCCTCCTCCTCCTCATCTTCCTCCTTCTCCTCCTACTCCTCCTCCTCCCCGTCCTCCTCCTCCTCCTCCTCCTCCTCTTCCTCCTCCTCCTTCTTCTCATCCTCCTCCTCCTCCTCCTCCTCCTCCTTCTCTCTCCCTCTTTTCCCTCCTCCTCCTCCTTCTCCTCTTCTCCTCCTCCTCCTCCCCTGCTTCCTCCTCCTCCTCTTCCCTCCTCCTTCTCCCCCCCGTCCTCCTCCTCCTCCTCCTCCTCCTCCTCCTCCTCCTCATCTTCCTCCTTCTCCTCCCCCTTTTCCTTCTCGCGGAGGGGCGACGTGTGCGGCGGCGTCGTCGACCGCGAGGGGCGGCGAGGGCGGCCGCCGCCCCCCCCCCCCCCCCCCCCCCGCAGGCCTCTTGGGCTGCCGCGGGAGCGCCCGGGTCCACCGGGAGGGCTTCGCCGAGGAGGCGCCCCCGCGGCGAGCCCCACGGGGGCCTGCGCCGCGCGGCCGCGCAGGATCGAGGATCGAGGATCGAGCGTCGAGGAGGATGGAGGATCGAGGGTCCAGAGGGATCGACGATCGAGGGGCGAGGACGATCGAGGATCGAGGAGGAGGAGGGTCGAGGAGGGTCGAGGACCGAGGCGGAGGACCGAGGATAATCGAGGCCCGGGGAGAATAGTCAGGATTATCGAGGATCGAGGATGATCGAGGATGACTGAGGATCCAGGCTCGGGGTTGGGCGATTGAGTTTTCTTGTACATGTGCGCCGACCGAGATTCGGTCGACTTGAGTCAACTTGGAGCTGTCGCGGTCGGCTTTGCGGGGGGGCGAGCCGATGTCGGCCAGACCGGGCGCCCCTGCAGGGGCCTCAGATCCTCGTTTTTTCCTTCCCGTCTTTTCCGAACAGCGCCGGCGCCGAGAATTAAGCTCTGCGCGCACCAGATACAAAAAAGGCTTGCTTCGCTTCGCCTCTATCGGGATTATTTGTCTCTGCGCGATGCTGGGCGTTATCGTCGCACCAGCGAATGGCGTGAGGAGCTGACGAAGTTCCAGCACAAACAATTGCGACGTGCGTCCGTGCGTGAGTTTGCAACATTTGGGACCATGTTGTTTGTGTGTACGTCACCATTTCCGAGGCTCCAGGGGTTTCGTGGGCTTCTTCTGGAGTTCCTCACAAACATATGGAGGCCCCAGGGCCTCCGCCAGAGGGGATCCAGGTCCTCTTCCTCGGCTCTTCGAGACCCTTGATCACTGAATGATGGTCGAGACCTTTCAGGCAGAATTTCCGTTTGGGCGGGTCGGCGTGTCTCTTGACAGAGCCCCATGATCGATGCGATGTAGCAGGCGTCGCAGTAGGCCTCAACGGGAGGGGGGGGGGTACTACACGGTCCGTTCGCGCCCAGATTGTCCGAACCTCTACAGTGGAATATACGTTTTTAGAGGAACCGCCGTGCCTGTTTTCGCAGTCCCATGATGCCGTTCTGTAGCAGGCGTTGCATTCGGGCGCCCCGAGGGGGGACTGGGCCAGTAAACGGGCGCGTTTGCGACCAGCTTTTGGTGGGACCTCTCAGGTAACACTGTGCGTGTGTGTGTGTGTGTGTGTGTGTGTGTGTGTGTGTGTGTGTGCGCGTGTGTGTGTGTGTGTGTGTGTGTGTGTGTGTGTGCGTGTGTGTGTGTGTGCGTGTGTTGCAGGGTAGACGCGTCTGTCTGCACAGCCGCGCGATCGGATCGCCGCGCGTCGCGCCAGGAGGGAGCCACCCAACGGGGGGGGGGGAGGAGGCGAGAGCCTGCTCGCGCCCGGACCTGGTGGGCCCCGTCGAGACGAGCCGCACGTCTTGGGGCGGGGGGGCGGGGGACGTCTCTCCACTCACGGAGCTCCTCCTCCTCCTCCTCCTCCTCCTCCTCCTCCTCCTCCTCCTCCTCCTCTTTCTCCCTCCTCCTCCTCCTCCTCCTCCTCCTCCTCCTCCTCCTCCTCCTCCATTCACGGAGCTCCATGGTCACCGCGATGCCGCGGGCAGGACGATTCGGTTTCCCACGGCCGGGTCGACCAGATCTTTCGCCGGCGTCCAGAGACCCAGGGAGGGAGACGGAGGGGATGGGGAGGGGGGAGGAGGGAGAGGAGGGAGGGGAGGGAGGGGAGGGGAGGGAGGGATGGGGGAGGGAGATCCAGACATCCGACGAGCTGATTCTGTCAGGTCGTGACTCCAGAGGTCCCGTCCCCTTTCCTGGGGCCAGTCCCTCGCCCCGGATCGGTGCGCTGTTGGTGGCCGCCGCGCAGAGGCCGACATCGACAACACGCCCGGATGGAACAAACGTGTTGTCGAAGCTCCGATCTTTCCAATTTCGGGGTCCCCAGAAGTTCCGACCACTTCCCCAAGGCAAGCTGTCCTTGTCAGTGCCCCCCCAGGGCCTGGCGAGTGTCCCCAGCACGATGATCTCCCGTCGCGTCTTTCCATGATCCGAGGGGGTGTGGGAGGTTCTCGGCCTCCCGGGTGGGGTCGGAGTAAGTGGGGTCGGAGAATCGCTTCGCGTCGTCAATGCATCGCCAGTGCGGCTCGATGTGGAGCCCGATTTCCTCCACGACGGCGCCGACGGCGACGATGCATCGCCGATGCATCGCCGACGCACCGCCGATGCATCGGCGATGCTGAGCGATCCTGCGACCCCATCTGTTCCGACCCTATCTGCGGGGACTCTGGAGGTCTGGGTACGAAGGACGCCTCCCTTGGTCGGACGGGGCTAGTACGAGGATAAATCCGTTTCAGAGCGTTCTGGAACGCTCTCCAAGCGTTCCGGAACGCTCTGATAAGGCCGCGGCGCCCGAGACAACCTCCAGAGCCGCCGGATCGCAGAGACTCTCGACTTCTCCTCACCCGATGTTATCCTCGTCCTGGCTTCGTCTTACAATCGGACCGAGGTATAGGGTATAGGATCGAGGTTGTTTGGGGAGGGTGCCCCAGTGTTCTTTGTGTTTGTTGGATGTTCGTGTGCATCCTGGGGAGGGTACCCTTGGATGTTCTGTGTGTTTTGGCCGGCGGAGGTTCTCATGTTCTTGAGGGATGTTCGTCTGGTTGGATGCTCTGTTTGTCTTGGCCGACGGAGGGCCCCATGTTCTCGTGGGATCTTCTCCTGGCCCAGGCCTGACTGTACCTGGGGGGCCCCCGCGCGGCGGAGGCCGGCGGCTTGGCCCACCTGGAGGCGGAGGTGCTGCAGCGCTTCGCCACCTGCATGCCCGACGAGGATGCTTGCCCTGGGCTGGGCATCGCTCGGGCGCATGCATTTTTTCTCGGCGAGTGCCCTCGAGTCAAGCAGTGGCGAACCGTCCTTGCTCCTATTGGTCTACCAAAGAAAGTTCTAAGATTTGTTTGTGGTTTGCACGACGTGTTCTTAGAACATTGCTGGCTGGGACCGTCTTGTTTTAACACATCGGGCATCATGCTCCAAGAACGCTGTCTTCGCTCTGAGAACACTTCTGGCTTCCATGACTACTTCGCGGTAGGCCTACAGGGATGCTGGGACGGCTGGTCCCCCGCTCAGTCGAGGAGCACCCTCAGCCATCGAGCCCCAAGTCGGAGGGCACCAACTATACACCAGCACCGATCCTGGCCCAGGATCACCCTGGGCCCAGGATCGGTGTATATGCCTTCTTGCGCAAGGCAGGAGGGCGTATACACCGATCCTGGGCCCAGGGTGATCCTGGGCCAGGATCGGTGTTGGTGTATAGTTGGTGCCCTCCTACCCAGGGAGCGCGCACGGAGCCGACCAGACTGCACGGGGGATGGGCGTCCGAGCGGTGGCGGGTGGGGTGGCGGCGGCCTCGGCCCCTCGGCCCCTGGCCGATCGACGAGTCGGGCAACTCGAGGGGCGGCGCTCGACTACACGCTCAGTGGGACCGAGGCACGAGATCGAGGTATCGATCTATTCGTCTATAGGTTTTGTCTATACATTACAGATACCAAACAATATATATATATATATATATATATATATATACACATCGTCATATGGTAAGGGCTCCTCCTGTGATCTGCCTGTCCTGGTGTTTTGCTGAAGCGAAACGTGAACGTGCAACATGGCTTCTTGCACAGCACCTTTTGCACAGGCTTAGAAATGGATTCCTATTGCGCGGCCTTCGCATGGAATTCTTTTGTGGGGCATCACATATTGATTCCTAGTGTCTGGGAGACAATTGATAGCAGCTTATTTAGACATGCGCAGTCCTATTGCGTGGCCATCAAATAGAATCCATTTGCGCTTGGCTCGGGGGGAGAGGGGGGCCTGGCCGACGAAAAAGGCAAAACAGACCAAGCATACAAAAAGACAATCTGGAGAACCCAACACGCAGGGCGCTTTGTATTGTATATATTTTTACCGTGTAAATCAAAAAAGCACAAAAACGGCAAGTTGGAATCACCAAAAACCTGTGTTTTCACAATGTTTAGACATTTACACATTGATTTCCATTGTGGGGCCACCAAGCATACTTCCTTAATCGGAATCAATGTGTATATTCCCACAAAGGGATTCTGTTTGATGGCCGTACAGTCGGAATCAATGTGTAAATGCTGTTGTGGGGCTCTACACATTGATTCCGATGAAGGAATTCTGGTTGGTGGCCTCGCGATGGAAATCATTGTGTAAATGCCCAACCACTGAAAATACAGGTTTCCTTTGCTTCCATATTGTTTTTGGTGTGTTTTGGCTTGCGAATAAAAACAAGGTTACGCATAACAAACACAGCGCTATTGGTCCCGCATGTTGTGTTTTTGCCTTTGTTGTAGGTTTTGTCTTGTTCGTCGGCCAGCCCCGCCCCCTCTCCCCCCGAGCCATGCGCAAAGGGATTCCATTTGAAGGCCGCACACTAGGAATCAATTTGTAAGTGCCCAGGCACTTTGAAAACACTGGTTTCCGTTGCTTTCAGTTTATTTTTGAAGAAAGTTTAAAAGCCAATCTCAAATTAGAACCATAACGCTTTATGTCCCCCATGTTGTTTTGTTGTCTTCCCCCCGAGCCAGGCGCAAAGTTATCCCATTTGATGGCCACACACTAGGAATCAATTTGTGAGTCTGTACAGAAGGATTTCGTTTGTTCTCCACACACTGAGAAACATTTCATTTTGTAGTACCCCACAAAAGGGGTTCCATTGGATAGCAGCACCAAACATGTTTAACCAATTCGCAATCATGTGCACCAGAATTGCAAGTGTATCCTGCATTCTAGGAGTCAATTTGAAGGTCTGCACACAGGGATTCCAATTGTGTTCCACGCAATAGCAATCAATTTGCAACACCTCCCCGATGAGATTATGCTTGAAAGCCGCGCAATAGTGATCAATTAGCAAACCCCGCACAACAGGATTTTGCTTGTATGCCGCATAATACTCATCCATTGGCCAATTCCCGTGGAGAATGTCCAAGTGTGGGGCGCGATGGGTTCCTCGGTGACTAACGGTTGTCTGGGCCAGGCAGCATCGCCGCAAGCGCGCGACGGGCAACAATGCTACGCAAGGGATCCCGGGTGCTCTTGAGGGCCCTTCTTAGAAGGGGCCACAGCAATGCCGAAAGCCTAAAGGGTTCAAGCCAGAAGGCGTCTAGACTGATCATGGTGGCTCTCAAGGATGTCTTTGGTTTCCCTTGCGTCCAGGATCTTTCCGGTCAACAAATAAAAAAAACTTTACACATAAAAGCACAGCGTTTTCGGTCTTACCTAGTGTCCTTTTATCTTTATTGTCTTTTTTCTTTTACTTCGGCCAGGCCCCCCCCCTCTCCCCCCGAGCCAGGCGCAAAAGGATTCCATGTGGAGGCCGCACAGTCGAAATCAATGTGTAAATGCCCAGGCGCTGTGAAAACACAGGTTTCCGTTGCTTCCAGTTTGTTTTTTGGCTTGCAGTTAAAAAGCCGATATACCATACAACACAACGTTTTATACCACCCGGCTTTTTTTTAGAAAAAAAGAAAAGGAAAATAAACACAACCCGAGCCGGGCGCAAAGTGATTCCATTGGAAGGCCGCGCAATAGGAATCAACTTGTGAGGCTGTGCAAATGGGTTTCGTTTGTTTCCCACACAACGGGAACCAGTTTTGTAGTACCCCACAAAGGGGTTCCATGGGATAGCCGTACAACAAATTGTAATCAATTCGTAAGTATGCACGCACGAAGTGCAAGTGTATCCTGCATTCTACAAGCCTCGTCAAAAATAAACAGAAACGCAGATGGAAAGCACAGCGATCGATCTTCTCGGGCACTCGCTAGAAATTGCGTTCTTCAATGCTGCGGAGGGGTCGTCGGACTTTCGAAGCCCTTGCGTCCGCGTCAGATATCTAGCGTCAGCATTGGAGTAGCGCTGACCATACAATCACCGAAAACAGAATCCCTCAGTTTATTTTTGACGAGGGTTGTTCGCTTATAGGCTTCTAAGCCGCTTTCTTTCGCTAGTGCGCAGCACGTGTCCGTCCGCTCGGCTGGATAATTAGTTTGCGTTTAGCGACTAGCTTGCCGCCGCCCAGACAGCCGCCCACCCCTTGTCGCGCGGCGCTGATCTGAACAGATTCGGGGGGGCGAGACAGATAAATCATCGGCATCGTCGTCTGCGCCATCGACACCTCAGCCATCGACGCCACAATCACCTGGTGTAAGATAGCGGGTAGACGTTCCAATGGTATGGAAGTTCGTGCGTCTGGGAGCTTTCGCGCGATTCTCGGCGTCCGCTGTAGCGTAACAATTAGCAAATCGCTAGGTCGACAACGCGGAAGACCGCATAGGTCGTTGAATCGGATACGGCACAGCTAGGGAGAAGGAGTTCGTGCAAAATCACGGGTAGACGTTCCAATCTTATGGAAATTCTTGCGTCTGGGAGCTTTCGCACGATTCTCGGCGTCCGTGGCAGCGTAACAGTAGCAAATCGCTAGGTCAACAACACGGAAGACGCGTTTAGGTCGTTGTGTCGGAACCGGCGCAGCTTAGGAGAAGGGGCGGTGCAAAATCACAGGTAGACGTTCCAATGTTATGGAAATTTGCGCGGCTGGGAGCTTTCGCGCCGCCGCCGCCCAAAGGAGGGTTGTTACAAAGGATGATGGCGGGTATTTGTCCAACTACCCCGCCGCCGCCCACTCGGCATGCGCTTTGATTTAGCGCGGCGGACACTGCAGTCACTTCGACGTATTATTTGTACAACAACTACCCACCCTTGCCCACCAGAGTGTATTTTTTGCAAAGGATTATGGCCGGGTAGTTGTTGGTACTAACCAACAACTACCCGACCGCCGCCCACTCGGGTTGTATTTTTATATAGTACGGCGGTCACCGACGTCACTTCGACATATTATTTGTATAACAACTACCCACCCATGTCCACCGGAGTGTATTTTTTGTCACGTATGATTGCCGGGTACTTGGGTAGTTGCAAATTTCCAAAAGAAATGAAAGGGGGGCATCTTATTCTTTTAGAAAAATGCAACTACCCAACTACCCGGCAATAATCAGTAACAAAAAATACACTCTGGTGGACATGGGTGGGTAGTTGTTGCACAAATAGTATGTCGAAGTGACGTCGGTGACCGCCGCGCTATATAAAAATGCAATCCGAGTGGGCGGCGGCCGGGTAGTTGTTGGTTAGTACCAACAACTACCCGGCCATAATCTTTTGCAAAAAATGCATTCTGGTGGGCAAGGGTGGGTAGTTGTTGCGCAAATAATTTGCCGAAGTTACTACGGTGTTCGCCGCGCTGCATCAAAGCGCATGCCGAGTGGGCGGCCCCCAGGTTGCCGCGGGGGGGCCCAGGGGCGGCTGCCAGGTTGCCGCGGGGGGTCCAGAAGTAGATCTCCTTGATAGGACCAAGTAGATGGGTGCCTCCCCCCCGCCGTCGGCCGCGCCGCCGCCGCCGGCCCCGCGCGTCTTCCGCGGCTGCCGCGCTCGAGTTTCTTGGGCGCCGCGCGTGGCAGTTTAGCGCGATGTACATTGCACCGCACATATGGTGCCAAGATAATATGAGAACCTATTGTTTGGGGTGAACGCTGATTTTTACAGCGGCCATTCGCTTATAGGCTTCTAAGCCGCTTTCTTTCGCTAGTGCGCAGCACGTGTCCGTCCGCTCGGCTGGATAATTAGTTTGCGTTTAGCGACTAGCTTGCCGCCGCCCAGACAGCCGCCCACCCCTTGTCGCGCGGCGCTGAACTGAACAGATTCGGGGGGACGAGACAGATAAATCATCGGCATCGTCGTCTGCGCCATCGACACCTCA